CAGGTTCCTAGAACACTTACCTAGCAAGAGAAGCCTGTACTACAAGAAGCCCACTCTTCAAAATATTATTTCAGTTTTATTTGGGTCCCCCCTTGTAAAAAGCCAAGGCTTTAACAATATATCTCTAAATAGACGTTTTGTTTTTGTGTTTTTTGTTTTCCATAATTATGTATTGCTTCTGCGATACAAGAGTTTGCAGAAAAATATGCATTTTAATTTTTTAAAGCTGTGATCAATATCAGCAAGATGGGGGAGTAGAAGATTCCACCCTTCCTTCCCCTCACACAGAGCAACATTTGACACCTATCCATTTATAAAAATAAAAGTTGTGACCATTTATTTCCTCTTAGCTAAGTCCAAGTTCATTAACATTTTTATGAAAACCATATTTTTAAATATTATGTACAATTAAAAATCATCTTTAAAATTTCTGAAACTATATACTTTTAATTTAACAGGGCACCCTAATATTAAGACATCACCATCTTTTTTCCATTACAAATCTCCAAGAAACAATCAACTAATAAGATTATGCACTAACCTTTAAAAAGTTAGTATACCCTAAGAACACAACTCCTCTATTATAATTCTGTAGGTTATCATTATCGATAATATACTTACTGCATCATTTAGATTATGGGTCTCAAATTCCATTTAATAATAAAGCAAAAAAAGGAAATTATAAAAATTACAGTACTTTCAGATTTGTTTTTAGTCAACTACACACGTAAAGCAGAAATCTCAGAGCTCTGCAAATAATTATTTTTCCTTCAGTTTCTCCCAGTGTTCAAAAAAAAGTAATTAGTTCTATAAAAAGAGCCTGAGATTTCATTCATCTATCTTAAAGATTACATGTTAGAACACCATGGAAACTTTTCTCTTCATGAGCCAGAAATTTAGTGACTACTTTCAACTTCTTTTTTACTCAGCCCAAAGCTCTACAAGTTGCAATGCTATTATGAAGTTATAATATATACATCATTTAAAAAGCACTTTAATGATGCAAATGGGCAGGAAGTTCTTTTGGGGTAATGGAGTATTCTAAGGTAAGACTGGCAATGGTCACACAACTCTGTAAATGCACTATTATTCAACTATATACTTAAAACAGGTTAATTTTATAGAGCATACATTCCATTCTACCTCAAAGGTACCTTTAAAGTCCAGTAGTATAAGATGTTGTCCCTACAGATTTATAGGGTGGCAAGCAGGCACACATCAGGTTTTTATCTCTTAAAAAACTATACATGCACTGTTAAGTAAAAAAAAAAGCAAGATGCAGAATCATGTGCTTAGCAACCCATCATATCTGTGTAAATATAGGGGAAAAAATGGCTATCTTAGTTTTAGGTAAACACTTCAGCTCTTCATTGGTTCCAATTTGTGATAGGAAGTTTCAGTACTATGAGGAAAACTTTAATCAATGTCCAAAAAGCACTGCCTAAAGGCATGATGACACAGGCTACAGTGAATCTAAAGCTCATCATTGGCAATTCACACTTACAGTCCAGTGTGCGTATGTGTATACTGGGGGAGAAGGGGAGGGAAAAAGAGAAGGGAAATTCAAATCACCTGTACATTGAAAAGCATCACTAATAAGAAAAAAAAATGTTTAACAGCTCATATATCAAGGGAACTTCTAGTTTTTGCAGTTTCCAAGATTCCTTCCCTGATCGTGTATTATTTTCTAAATTAGGAAAAAAAGTTAAAATTAAATTTATTCTATGCTAAATGGAAGTGAAACTCAAACACTATAGAATATACTGCACAATTCCACACATGACATTCCGGATCAAACAAAATAATCTGGACAAAACAAACAAAAAACCTTAAGAGTGAGTCAAGGTTGACTAAAAGGTACAGAGTCAGTGTGGTGGCTCACGCCTGCAATTCCACCATCTTTGGAGGCTGAAGCAGGAGGACTGCTTGAGCCCAGGAATTTGAGACCAGCTTGGTCAAAACACCGAAATCTGTCTCTACAAAAAAAATTAATAAATTAGCCAGGTGTGGTGGTGCACGCCTTTAGTCCTAGATCACCTGAGCCCAGGTGGTCAGGGTGCCATAAGCTGTGACCATGCCACCGCACTCCAGCCTGGGCAACAAAGTGAGACTCCAACTCAAAATAAATAAAAATAAAAGGCAAAAGGGGGCATGAAAGAAATTTAGGGAATGGCAGAAATATTCTCTCTTCACTGTGGTGATGGTTAAACAGTTGTGTGCATTTGTTAAAACTCACCAAAAAGCCGGGCTCGGTGGCTCAGCCTGTAATCCCGCACCTTTGGGAGGCTGAGGTGAGTGGATTGCCTGAGCCCGTGGGTACAAGACCCGCCTGGGCAGCGAGACCTCATCTCTACAATAAATCAAAAAATCAGCCGGGCGTGGTAGCGCATGCCTGTAATTCGGCTACTCGGAAGGCTGAGGCGGAAGGATCGCGGGAGCCCAATAGGTCGAGGCTGCGGTGGCGGGGAGCGGACACTGCACTCCAGTCTGGGCGACCGAGTGAGACTCCAATTCAAAAAAAAAAAAAAAACTCACCAAAAAACGTTTCTTCTAATATATGTAAATTTCAATTTTTAAAATTCAAATAGCTAAAAAAAGTGTTAAATTGCTGTGATAAACCAATGATTTTCAAGTGGGCAGTTTAAAATAAAAAAAACTGAGGACCACTGAATCACTTCAAACTCATATAACACAAAAAAACAGACTCAGATTTGTTCAGGGGTCCATAATGATAAGCTGAAGAACAGACCAAGAATTCCCATTTGTCTACGTCAGCTCCAAGGTTCTTTCCCACTTTGCCTATTCTCATTCTTCCAGAGTTCTGAAGACCATAGTTCCCACAAAGTGCGAGTGGATTATGGCTGGATATTATATTCCCAATATTCAGATGCAAACGTTATTTCAGTACACACAAATGTGGCTAGTGTCCTTCCCACCTTTACCAAAGAACCAACTCACTTTGTGGGGTAAAATGGGTAATGGAGTATAGCATGGACAGGAATCAATAATACAGACTTCAGAGTTAAGCAGAGAGTTCAGCCAACTGTGAATTGACCGAAAAAAAAATACAATGAGAAACCAAAGTAAGATGGTAAACAATCTTTTTACTAAGACAGTTAAATTATGTTAATCTTATAAAGAAAAATAACTTGTATAGCACTGACAAATACAATATACTTTGCTATGGTGCTGTCAACCATATACATAATTCAAAATAACTTGCTACAGCAAAATAACCACCTTCTTTTTTTCAATACGCAAGAAAAATGCATATACCTCCCTTATACAAGAACCGTGTAGCCAAAAAGTGCAACTTTTCCGGGGGAGGGGGGCACGGGGGTTGCAGCGTAGGGGAATGTGTTGATGCCAAATGACAAGCCTTAACTACCCCTGAGGGGAAAAATATGGGTGAAGCCCATTCTTTACGCCTTGCGCCCCAGCCAACCACATTTACAGCGGTTCAGGGAAGAAAACCACCAGGTTTCAATACGAACAGAAGTCAATGTGAAACATCTACTCAACTTTCACTTAGGTCATTTGTCTGGCACCAAGTTTTAAACCTAGAATGTTAATTGCAACTACTCACGCATTCACATCAAGACTCCCTTCCAACAGGCACTTTCTACTTTACGTTTACCATCTAAGGAGATTTAAACTTGTGAAAAGCTTAGGGGGATCCTTGACACACGGTGATTCCCCACTATGCTATCACCACGTGACACTTAAACCAAATCCACAGAGCTAATCAGTAAACTAGGAAAGGAAAACAAAACGCTCAAAATGGGAAATCGCGACCGAATAAAACAAAACCCCACGGGACAAAACGTGAGCGGAAAGAGAAATCTCAGAGAATTCTTTCTGTGCACGCACAATACTCATGTATTAGAAGGCCCTTCACAAAAATAGCAAAGACTCTCAAACATGTGAGATGCTGGCTTAGTGAGATTGACTGACAGACAACAGCTGGGAAGATTTTGTATTGATCTTGTAACACCCTGGCATACTTCGTGAAAATGGGGAGAAGGCAGTGTTGTAAGGGCCAAAATAGGCTGTTTAGGTTTTCATTTTCAGTGATGCGACCCCCCCCCTTTTACACCAAACGCCCCTAGCAAATTCCTCTACTCGCGAATGGTTCTTCCGGTTTCAAACCCCCAACTCCACGGTAATACATCACCTTCCTCTCAAAGGAAACAGACAGACAACAAAAAAAAAACAAAAGCCTCGTGGAAAAAACAAAACAAAGCACTCCGTCCTCCCCAAATACGGGCTGATAGAAAGAAACCAGTCACCTGTCTCCCTGACCCATTTCGCGCTTTAAATCTAAACTTTCAAGCCCAGAACTCTGGCTTCCCCCTCCGCAACAGAGGGGATGAGGCGCCGCCCGGTTTCCCAGGCCGCAGAGACATCTCAACCCGCCACATTTCACGGTTTTCCGCGTCTCGGTCTTCGATCCCGACCCGCCAACTGGTACCTCGGCTCCCTCAGGCAACCCCAGGTTCGTCGGCCCCCAACCCCAGCACAAAGGTGAATTCCTGGGATTCCGCGACGCGCCCCCTCGGGGGCGGGGAGGGGTCGCCGGAGCGGGCCGAGGCGCACCCGCCGGGCCCAGTCCGAGGAGCGGGCGGGACCACACGACCCCACCGCCTCCTGCCAGGCTCCCCCGCCGCCCGGAGCGCAGGCCTGCTCCCGGGGAGCGCCCCGCGGCCGCCCGGGCCCGTCTCGCAGGCCCGCCAAGGGCCGCCCTGGCGTCCAGGAAAAAGGCTCGCGGGCGGAGAAAAGCAAGAGGTGCCCGGCGTGTTGTTTCGACACATAACGGAGCCCGGGCCCCCGAGACCGTTAAACCGCGGGCGGAGGGGGGGAGAAGCGAGGGGCCCAGCGGCCTCGGGCTCCGGCCCGGCCGCCCTCTTCGCTCCCAAACCTCCCTCTCCGGGACCCCCAAGCCTCCCTCACGCCCGCTCCAGCCCCCAGAACACCCGACAGAGCGGCAGAACGGTCGGTACCTTGTAGAAAGCCCCGTTGGAGCCGCGAACCTCCACCGTCAGCTCCGCCATGTTGGAACCGCAAAGGCCGCTGGGAAGAGATTCTAGAAACT